GTCCATTCCATCAGACTTTCAAATATCTTTCGATCCGATTTCTCATCTCAATAGAACAACACAATTTAATTAGTAACTTTTACTTTTCTATTTCCATTATCAAAAAAGGGTAGTCTATATGGACCTTAAATTGGAGTAATATAGCAAATAAATATTTAATTAATATATCGAGTTGTTAGCACGTTTTGTTTTTGTTGAAGCTTGGATAAGCATGGAATAATAATAATACAACACAAAATGTACGTAAACAAAATGTATTGAAACAAGGAAAAGGTACACAATATTTACAGTTAGTTTTGGTATATTCTTGGGAAGACTGTTCCTGTAGAATGGGTTGACTTAATCGCAGTCGGGCAGAGTCTCTGGATTGGATCTCTTCTTACTTCCTTCCTCATCGTCTTCCAGGTACCAACCCATATTTTTATGGTCGGTACTCCACTATGTAAATTAGGTGGATCGTACCACAACAGTTTTCTAACCAGGAGACACGAATTCCAAACTTATAATGGTCGATTTGTCACAATGTTGATTCCTTAATGTTATCGGATAAATGCTTGAAAACGATACCACGTGTTGTCCCAATCCTTGTGAGTGAAATTGGTTAGACTGAACTATTTTAGAGTTTTTGACGTTTATGTTAGTCAAGTGACAAGTTATCTTACCCAAGGTTTTGAGCGTACTAGCTTTGGTTAAACATCTTATCACGCCAGATAATGCGGTCTCTCCCAGAGATTGCCGCTGAGTATAGTTGTATATAAACCACAGGTGGACGCTGTGGTTCTTGAATATGCACAAGTATGTCAGAGCAAGGCATATGCCACATGGATTGTCTATGCTCCCTAGTAGACAGTCATACTCCTATACAAGCGGACCGCCAAAAACAACAAGATATATAATGTTTCTATCCTGTATTTATTTCATATATAATGTTAAATACTAGAATGTTATATCCTCATGAGTCCATACTTTAAATTTCTTTTTATTAATTTTTGTAATGAAATTAGTAAGGATCAAAGACATTCAATAGACATGTACAGGAATGTACATATACATCGCAAAATAACTTGTATTCTCATCACAATGGTAAATAATGCTAATTCTTTCTATATATTCGAGAACTATCTCACACAATGTTTGTCGTTAATTCACGAGCACATAAACGGTCGTTAGCTGGATATAATAAATATACAACAGACCTCCGCTTCGATTTTATTAAATTCATATGCAAATACTGATGACATATCACGTATAGTGATCCTGCTATACATCTCGAGATTTTTTTTGTCAAAATTCAAAGAAAGATCCGTAATGTAATCAATCCTAACCTGTCATCTCAACTTAAGTCACTTTCCCATCGACTTGAGGTGGATTTCCGCTGTCTTTTCTAAAAATATTTTCAAGACATCTAGGTCCCACCCGTTTAACGTTGAAATAGCTAAATTTATTTGCTTCCCTAATAACTGCAGTATTCACAAATTTAAATGCAACGTCAAACGCCATCTTCTGTCTATCCAGTGCATTTTATGCCCTTTTCTTTAATCCCTCCTTATACGTAGTCTTTTCTCTCGCTTTCTCACCCTGCATCGCCACTGCCTACTATTGGCGTTCCCGTCTTGCTTGGAGTTTAATTATTAAAAAAAATCATGCTTCTATTCCGAATATTACAATTCATTCTAGAGCGTCGGATGTTGTTTTTAGTTTGATTTTTTTCCGCAAAACTTCGCGATCCTCTTACGACTTTGCCACAGGAAATATATTAAAATAATCAACTACTACTATAGTCATAAAAGAAGCACATAGCTCTGCTATCTAATTCTATTTGGGGGTTTCACGGTTTCTATATGAGAGAAAACCAACTTATCCTTAATTTTGCCAGGACCACGAACTACACGGAAATAGACTGATTTTTTATTTGATTTGTTTAACATCAACACACTTTATGGGTTGTTTAATGCCGAAATTTAATTTTTTTGAGAGCTTTGAAGCAATAAAATATGTTGTTCTGCTTAAAGAATTGAATATAGGTAGCTGATACTCATATTTTGTGTATATACATGTTTGTGTGGACATAATTTCTAGAAGCGGTGATACCTATGTTTTCGGTTGAAGTTTTGAGGAAGTTACATTTTGGAATACAGTTTTCCAGAAATAATATGATTTTATATGGATTAATGATATGAAAGAGATTTTTTCATATTTTTTTTGTTTTGCTTGGTTGATTGATTGATTGATTTTGTTTGGCCGCTTATCAATCTTTATTGGTTATTTAATATTGGCATCTAAATCATTTGAATGTATTTGTATACCTTCAACTACAGAATAATGTATTGCTGATCACTTGACAATAAATATGTATTGTTGGACCCTTTTTATAGAAAAATGTATCGCTGTTATTTTTACTATAAAAATTATATTTTATAATTTCGTGGTATTTTATTTTTCTTGGTGGTTCAGTCTTTGCCCACAACTGTGACCCTAGCAGGTGGTAAAACCCTGGGTCTTGGTGGACCTCGGAGCAGCATCAATAAAGAACTAGTTCCACGTTCCTGAAAATCTACCGATCAGAGGCCTTACTGCCGGATGTAGTTTATCGTCATACCAAGGACTTTCTATGAATAGATATGGATAGACAGATACATGAACTGCCATATATGAAGGCATAGGTAGATTTTAACAGAGATAAGTATGAACTCAGATAGTCAGGAACAGATGGATAGGAACACAGACAGATACAAACAGACACCTATGACCATATATATGACTACATAGATAGATATGAACAGACATTTTAAAATAAAATACGTATATGGTCACTTAAATAATATTTAAATTTAAAAGAAGAAAAGGAAAAAAAAAAAAAAAAAAAAAAATTTACATATAGATAGATCTGTTATGAACATAAAACTAAAGATAGAAATGAATTTGATACTGAGTGGTATGCATTAAAAAGAATCCAAAATAAACACACATAACACTTACATGTGAAATATATATATATATATATATATATATATATATATATATATATATATATATATATATATATATAAATAAAAACTGTTCTTAAAAACAATAAGATATATAATCCGGTATTGTTCTTATAGATATTTTTTTATTTTTTTTTTTTTTTTTTTTTTTTTTACATCCAAAATAGTGCTCTAATGACGTGACCTCCATTTTGTGAATATTCTGTAACCATGAAACGTGATTTTAGCTGTATTTAAAACCCGGTTTTTAGTCCTGTATTTTGGATAGGAATCATTCCTTGTTCAAAAATAAATTTAAACTTAATTTATATCAAATGGAAAAAAATCAGTCGTGACCTCCAGAAGGTATTTTTTGTCTCCTTCCTTCTTAATTTATATCGGAGAGACCCTTTGATCAAAATAAAATATACTTATTCAATTATCCCTGGTAAAGTAGTCTCAGCATATATATGCCTATGTGAGTTCGATAACACTGACAGACAGAGACTAAAATTATATAGATACATAAAAAGGAAAGAGGATATTTCCGAAATGGGCAGTTACTATATTTGTTGTGCTCGATACAAAAGTAGAGCCTAAATATAATTATTTATTGAAAAATATGTTTCCATCGCTACATAAGAGTTCTCATGTTTCAAAACAAGAGCCGAACACTTCCATATAATTATTTGAATTAAAGTGAATTAAAGTACTAAGGACTGTTCCATCTTCAAGCGAAATTTTTGGAATAACTAATTCTTGAAATTTACGCGTTTTATAAGGATATTCATTATTAAAATTAAAATTACTATGGTAATGGCTAGAGCAATTATTTAAGAAAAAAACGGGCGTAAGGGTTAATAATTTGTATCAACATCTCAGTTACATTAAAAGAGGTCAAGTCAGGGTAAGGTCGGTGTGTCAAAATTTAATGCGGAAGATGACGTCGACCAGACAAGACGATGGAACAGAACTTTGTATTTTAATTCAATTTAATTCCAATAATTATATTGAAGTTTTCGGCTCTTAATTTTTGAAATATGAGAACTCTTATGTAGTGATAGAATCATATTTTTAAATAAATAATTATATATATATATATATATATATATATATATATATATATATATATATATATATATATATATATATATATATATATATATATATATATATATATATATATAAGAAAGACTGCATACAAGTAATGCATTATTCTCATTGCTACTACCGCTACAATGGCGTCTTCAATGAGTCCTCGGCATTGCGTGTTAGCTGACCGTGTGTCTCTTTCGACGTCACGCCTAACGTAATATATCTGTGCATTCAAATCATGAGAGCTTTGAGGCCTCATTTCGGAGGTGGTGTAGTCGTGGATATTATCCTCAGGTCAAGCCTGTGGGTAATGAGAGTGGGAGTTAAACATAGCCTAACTCCTCGGTATAGGCTGTGATATTGAACATGTGATCTTATCGAAAGCAATTTTTTAGCATGACATGGTAATCTCTGGTCACAACCTAAAGAAACCATAATCACAACGTGGATTTGAGGTCCATCATCGTGGATATCTTTATGGTGTCGTCGCAAAGGCATCTGTCTTTCCTCCTTTTCATCTTTCAAGAAGATATTTATGTTAAATATATACAATAATATGGATGTAGAATAAAATAGAGTAATTTAAGATAAATGATGTGAAGAACTGAAGAATAAAGATCGAATAAGTTTAGCTCCCTTTTTTGTTATATATTTTTTATTTTTGTTCTTGTCTTCTGGTTTGGCTTTACCTATTTAAGGGAACTATTTTATTATCGTTACTCTTTCTTTCTTGTTTTTTGCTTGTTTATATGTTTTTCTTCGTGTGCTACACGTGCCTCTATTTTATGCAAAAAAAATTATAAATATTATTAATATTCACACGTAAAAAGGATACAGTCAAACGTTATAAACTTCTAACGTAAAGGCAAGAAAGAAAAAAATTTGATAATTTTCTAAGCGTACATTAGATGCGAGACACGGCCGAAAGTATGGGATAGC